AAACACTCTGTCATCACTGCATAGCTACACCTGAATTACTCTGTGAAACAGGGTTTCTCTGGCAAGGTCCACGCATCTAGAAAGTCTTTATTAGGTAGAAAGATTCCTTCTGTTACTGAGTAACATATGAGTTTTGTTTTATCTTTCAGTCCTTCGTGGGAGATTGCATGATCATGGAACATATTTAAGAAAAACAATAGGCTTGGGGAGGAGTTGTTTTTTTAAAAAATATGGATTTTCCTGCATGATCCCAAAGCCTAGAGCCAAAAAATACATTGTGGGAGAAAATACCTTCATTTAACGGTGCTGAAGACTATATACAATGTGTGAACAAGGGGACTATATTTGTTTGGTTTTCTAAGTGCTTAGGGCTTGATCCAAAGCCAAAAGTCAACGGGAGTTTTTCCACTGATTGCAACAGACTTTGGGTCAGACCTTTAGAGTACACCTACACTGCAATAAAACACCCACAGCTGGCCTGGGTCAGGTGACTTGGGCATGCAGAGCGTGGGCTGCGTGGACGTAAAACAGCGGTGTAGACATTCGGGCTAGAGCCCAGGCCCTGGGATCCTAAGACATCCATAAAAAACAACCTCCCTAAGGCAGGGAGGGGATTGCTGCGGTCTGTGGAGACCTGCATCAAAAGGAGCAGGGATCAGGTTCCGAGATGGCAGATGTCTGCAGTCATTTCAGAGAGCAAAAGCTGCTGCTAGTTTTCATATAAAAGTTCATCTGCGCTTGGCTTCCCTAGTCAAGGCTTTTTAAGATGACTATGCAAGAAGTGATCTACTTTAAAAAAAAATGCTGGAATGGACAAAAGGTACGTATGTTCTTATTGCTGGGGTAGGTGATGGTGAGAAGAGGAAGAACTTTCATGGGCTTTTTTTTTTTTTAAGGGTAAAGAAAGTGATCAGCACTATGTATTCTTGTACGGGCAGCTGACGAACAGGGGAAGGTGGGGTTAACACGTAGGAAAAACATGGAGTCAGAAAGCAAAAAAAAAAAGTGTCAACACCACTCTTTGCTTCTGTAATTACTATGCCAAAGACTTCCAGATAAGAGAGTTTAATGGGCGTTTTGAAAGCCTGTAATAAAACAAATGTGAAAATTTAATTGATATACTGTGTGTGTGTGGGGGGGGGGGAGAATATCACGCCAATGGACTGCAAGCCATCAGGCCTCTTGCCTCCCGGCTGTCTACTGCACTTGGGGTTCCAACCAGCCCCCCATTAAACTTAATGGGAGTCTTCCAATTGACTTCAATGGAAGCGTGGTTCCCGCCTTGCAGAACGTTATTTATCTACAGCAGGCTTAGCAGTATGGCCAGCTTGCTCTTCCTATAAAGTAATAATACACCTTTCATACCTGGGTAAGTGATTAGAAAAGAGTGAAAGAACTGCAAGATGGTGTAAGCAACACGCCAAGCCAGGGCCTACATTTTTAAGATTACCTTTTGCAATGTCAGTGTAATCTATACATGTGGATTTCCCTTCCCCCCGCTCCCACAATGCTTTGATGCTTTTTTCCCTTAAAATAACAATCACTATAGTCTTCTCCAGGACGCAAGACTACTCTGAATAATAGACAGTGCCTAATTCAGATGGTGCTTTTGATCCTCAAAGGACTTTACAAACATTCACGCACTACACTGCCCATTGTACCTTGTGGAATCGGTCAGTTTCACTGTTTAGAGCTCATCTTACACACAAAACTTGCATCCCTTTAACTAGATCAGCATAGTTACAGTGGTACAAACCCCAGAGTGTGGCTACAGTTATATCCTATAAAGGCGCTTTATGCCTATTCTTGTATGGGAAGGGGAATCAGCTGATCACCGCTATGACTGTCTCCACACTTGGGGTTGCACTGGTATAACCATATCAGTAACAACAACAAAAATCATTCCCCTAACCAACAGTTAGACTGATACAAAATCTGCGTGTAGACCAGGCCTAAAGCAAAGGGGTGAAGTGACTGGCCCAAGGCCATAGAGAAAGGATCAGAGCTGGGAAGTGAACTTGGGAGTTCTAGACCATGACTCATTCAACAGCAGTAGCCTGTATGTGCAAACTGGAGCGCCGTTTTTGCAGCGAGCCTGCCATGGGCAGATGTGCAAAAGGGAAGGCATTCTCCCAAACAAGCCTGCACTATGAATCTACTGCAGCCCCATGGCGAAAGTCAGCGCCCCAATGCAGCCCCTTTCCGAGTCAGATCCCTGAAGATCTGGGTAGCCAGGGATCTTTCTGCACTGCCCTCTCTGACACACGAGGTGTTTCGCCACCCTGATGGAGCCTTGCTGCGGGGCTCAGTGATTGCTTGGCGCTTAAGGTGTTTGCAGGAGCTCAGCTTCATTTCGTTTCCGGTTCCAACCGGCTGTGCCTAACAAGAGCGACACAGCACCTCGCCCGGAAGCTCAGCCCTTCACGGCAGTCCCCCAGTACTAGAGTTGTCAAGTGCAGGCTGAGGGGGCAGCCGGAATCCATCTCCCCCAAGGTTAGGAGAATCAGACCATCACAGCGAAGGGGATCAGTGTGTCAAACGTCAGTATCAAACTTCCCACACTCATCATAAAGAACGAGTTGGACTTTTAAACAATGAAAACAGCTTTTCCCTGTTCTTTCAGTCATAGCCAGGACACCGACCCAATGAAATCAAGCTCCACATTAGCCCTGCAGGTTGTGAACTACCAAAATCTCCAACTGGCTCCCTCTAGCCCACATAATCCCCTTCATTTCAGAGCGGTAGCCGTGTTAGTCCGTATCAGCAAAAACAACAACGAGTCCTTGTGGCACCTTAGAGATTAACAAATTTATTTGGGCATAGGCTTTCATGGGCTAGAAGCCACTTCATCAGATGCATGGAGTGGCAAATACAGTAGCAGGTATAAATACACAGTACATTTCAGTGACTGGAGCCTGATTTGCTAGGGTTTTCCTGGCCAGTTATTTAACCGTCATTGGCATTTCAATGACAGCAGCCAGCCTTTGAAGTGAGTGGTAGGAAAGGGAGACAGCCACCCTTGTGGGGGTGCCTCATTTCAGGCCCAGGATGGCTGTAGATCCAACAAGACAGAAGGGTGTTTATTCCCAAGAAGCGGAAGTAGGCTTGCGTGACCAAGATCCCAGTTTTCCTGCATGGAACAACCCAGGATTCTACCAGATGCCACAAGAAAGTTTGTATAAAAAAACCAAACATTCTGTGGGGGTTATTTTGGGAACATACAGAACAGAGGTGCAAGTCACCATAAAACCTAAGGACAGTTGGGGTGAAAATGCAGGAGTGTTGCAGATTTATTGGGAGAGGGGAAATACACATGACTGTAAAAAGCTTAGGAGGAGAAACATCTCCCCCTCACTTCTATCTGTGCCCACCCTGCAGTGACTGTGCACACATGCAAACTACCTACACACTCTTTGCTCTGATGTTGTCTCACTGGCTAATAAAACTGCACTATAAGCAACTCAATCATTTAAAAACGTTTTGCAAGGAATTCCATAAAGACGACAAGAGGAGGATGGATTTGTACCATTGATAAATTTTTTAAACACCTTCCCTATTGATCAAGCAATTAGGAAAAGGTCCCTCCCAACCACCGTGCCAAATAGCCCGTAAACCAAAACTGTTCCCCTCCACTAATACCTGTTCATGTCCTAGCTAACAGTCACACCAGCAGTTTCTCTGTATTAAACACTATGTGAATCCTCAGGAAATTGAGCAGTGTCCTCATTTTTGCGCTGTGGAGCTTTTATTTTAAGTTGTTGGTGGGGGGAGGGAGAGAAGTAGTATCAGCTACGCCAGGGGTGGCCAACCTGTGGCTCCGGAGCCACATGTGGCTCTTCAGAAGTTAATATGCGGCTCCTTGTATAGGCACTGACTCCGGGGCTGGAGCTACAGGCGCCAACTTTCCAATGTGCCGGGGGTGCTCACTGATCAACCCCTGGCTCTGCCACAGGCCCTGCCCCCCCTCCACCCCTTCCCGCCCCCTCCCCTGAGCCTGCCCTCGCTCCTCCCCTCCAGAGTCTCCTGCATGCCACGAAACAGCTGATTGGGAGATGCGGGGAGGGAGGGGGAAGCACTGATCGGCGGGGCTGCCGGTGGGCGGGAGGATGTGGGGGAGCTGATGGGGGGCTGCTGATGTATTACTGTGGCTCTTTGGCAATGTACATCGGTAAATGCTGGTTCCTTCTCCGGCTCAGGATGGCCACCCCTGAGCTATGCGATGAAGTTCCAGATTAACATTTCCTCTGGGAAATTTGCCAACAATTAATAATTACAGGAGCACAATGCCACATAGATTGCAGCTCTGGCCGTTCCCCTAGCTCAAGGTAGCAGAGACCTGCGGTTTTGTATAAGTCAGCCTAGGTTGCATTTCCCTTTATCAGCATGTGGCCAGAGCGAGCAGAATAGCTGAGGATCATGAAGGCAAACAGCCATGGAGTCACTGAAAACTCCAGCAGATAACGAGTGCAAAGAAGACAGATATTTGTGAGCATTCTTCTGGGTTCTGTGGGTTGTTTTTTCCCCCCAGAGACCCTGATTCACAGTTGGATATTCCATGAGACTCAACCAGACTAAAACATTAGACGAGAAAAGTATGGATGAAGTTAAGAGATATCCTGCCCCTGGTTCTTCCCCCACAGAAACGTCTCCAGGAGTCTGCTAAGCATATAGTGCACTCAAGTACAGGAAATGATCTGAGAAATATTTCAATTAGCTGATCTTACCTAACTCAGAAGAAATTCTGTAACTACCAAGTACACTTGTAAGACATCCCTGGTTCGATCCAGGGAGGAGTCTGTACTGCTGGGGAAATGTATAAACTATAGTCAGCAGTGCACTTTAATAAGCACCATGTACTGATCACAAAGGCAGCCTGTTTGGTGTCTAACTTTAACATGAACACTGCCAACTTATTATCTTTATAGATTCCGATGTGATTAAGCACTAGGGGTGGAGGGGAAGCCAATTTTATCTAAAGCAACATGTTAAAAGAATCTTACCTAATTCCTTTGGTTTGAACGATACTGTGGTGGGAAAGTCTGGATACAGCTGATATCACCTGGAAAGGAGAAAAAAAAAAAAACCTGGTGTGATTACAATAGAAAAGGGAAGCTATCGCTAAAACTAATGGAGAGAAGGATAGTTGGGGATCAATTTTCAGACCTGCTGAACATCTGCTGCTCCCATTGACTACTACTGAAATGTGAGTGCATGGCCCCCCTGACAAACAGGCCCTTATTATCAGTTGTGTGGTAGTTCCTAGCAGCCCCGGTCATTGATCAGGATCCATTGTGTTAGGCGCTGCACAAACACAGAACAGAAAGATCGTCCCTGCCCCACTAAACTTGATTAAACTCAGATCACAACCCTATCAAAAGGCAAAGTAAAACTAGAACATTCCAACGAATCAGAAGACAACACACAAGGGCTTTAAAGATTGATGTGACAGCACATAAAAAGCGACAAAGAGTCCTGGGGCACCTTATAGACTAACAGAAGTATTGGAGCATAAGCTTTCGTGGGTGAATACCCACTTCGTCAGACACACATAGTGATCATAGTGTCCACATGACATTCTATCAATGCTAACACAACTTTTGGTTTTGCTGCTGAATGTAAACACAAAAATTTTAACCTTCTAATATAAAGGAAAGAAATAGGTAACAATGTAATACAAGGAAATTCCATCTTGGAGCTCATGCACAAACATTCTAGATCTGCTCTAATGGTTTTATGCAATAGCCAGTACCTCTTGACAAACTCGAGCCTTGCATTCTTCTATTGGATGATTTATGATCTTTTTGCACATGAAATAAATAGCTTGAGCCAAATTTCACTGCTAGCGGAAAGTGGGCTCAACTCCTATCATTTCAACGCAGTTGTGTCCACTTATATCAGGGTGAACTTGGCTCATTGTCTTGTTTTCATAATAGACCTGACCCAGAATCTGATAAATGGCCAAAAATAAAGAATCATTAATATTTCAACAAGAAAAAAGCCAGCATGAATTTTTTGTGTATGCTGTGAAAAATTCATCCTGTTTTTCTACCAGCTATAGCTCTGATAACTTTTATAAATTGACAAAACACGTTGCAATTTTGACCTTTAGTGAGAAAAATTGAACACACTTTTCATTTTTTTAAAAAAAGAAAAAAACGGCTTTTTGTCTTTTACACACATGCAGCCATCAATTTGCAGTCCCTGCAAAGAAAAAAAAATTAAAACCTATTTTATATTTCATTACAATATTTTCTTTCCTTGGTCTCCCCTTTTCCAACACAGTTTCCTCCACTGCCTGGCACCACAAAATTCTCTTTAGCTAGTGAACTTCCAAGGAAGTGGTTAGTACCTGGGAGTGGCAGTCAGGACTCCTGGGTTCTATCCCGGGCACCGCCACAGAATATCTGATCTTCACTAAGTGCTACCTTGTCTGGGATTCAATTTCCCCATCTGTAAAACGGGGATAAGAGTTCTTACCTACCTCACAGAGATGTTAGGAAGTGTTTATAAAATTGCTTTGAGATCCTCACATGCAGGATGACATGTAAATGCAAAGCTTTACTAGAATTATCAGGTGACATCATGAACTGGCAACTCAGTATTAGGACCAGATTTTCTGAAGATCTCAGCACCCATCAGCTTCCATTGTGATGCTCACCGTGTTGGACTTTCTTTCAAATCTGGCCACTTCACCTTTATTGCCATGGAGGAAAACATGGGCTCTGCTCTTGGATTCTTGCTGCCCAGGCTAGCAGGGGACAGGAATGCCTCAGGTCATGCTCACGACCAGTGGTGCTGGAACAATTTTTATAGTGGGAGTGCTGAAGGCAGAAACCATGTATTTGGGTCGTTACTACTTCAAGTCAGGAGGTGCAGCAGCACCCCCAGCAGCCCTAATTCCAGCACTTATGCTCACTACCAATCTCTGGTGGATCAGGATTCAGACCCTGTCAAAACTAGAGTCCTCTTCAGCCCTCCTTAGCCAGGAGGCTGGTGACGGTACGATGCAGAGTGGGGGGTTAGGCTGGTGACATTTAAAGCATACAACACAGGTATCCGCAGGGCTGTAGCCAGCACTCCGAGGATCTCTCCGGAAAGAGAGAGATCAGCCGAGACTCTGCCAACGAGACACTTAACAAGAAAGCAAGACGAAACCTTTTGACCTCTCAATACGGCCAAATCCCTCTAGATTCCAGGCACAGCTGGATTCGACAACATTTGGTAGTATCTGGGGTACTATAAATGGCTTTCGTCTTTCTTAGCACCCGTTTTTTGTCAGAGGATTTTAATTGGTTTTTTTTTGTTCCCCCTTTCGGATTCGTTGCTTGCTTGGTTTGGTTTTCTCTCCCCCTAAATCGAACTTTCTTGAATTTCACTTTTTTGAAAATTGCCTACGTTCAACTTAAAAATCTGCTGTCTACACTAAGCTGAAAATGCAGGTGTAGTTAAAGAAAGAAGGTGGGTTGGTGGCTGGGGGATTTTACAAAATAGGATCAGAATTCTGGGGGGCGAAAGGGGTTAAAAAAAAGAAAGGATTTCAATTGGAGGAATTTGATTGCATTTTTTTTTCCTTTTTCCGTTTCAACATTTCCTGCAGTGTCGAAAACCCAACCCCAAAGCACTGGACTCCTGTAGACACGGCAGAAAGTGAAACTGACGATAGATAAAGTGAAACAATCCTGTGTAGTTGCTCTGGAGGGTAGATGGGGAGAGGAAGCAAACACCAAAAAAAGGGAGGGATGCCCATGGCTCTGAACAGAGTTTTCCATTTCAGCACTCTAAGGGCTTGTCTACACTGGCAAGTTTTGTCGCCAAAAACTGCCTTTTGGCGACAAAACAGCAAGACCGTACACACGACAATGGGACTTTTGTCATGAAAACCCCCAGTTTTGGCGACAAAAGTCTTCCACCCCTACGAGAGACGTTTGTCTTTTCCCCTCCCTTTATTGTCGACAAAGAGCCAGTGTAGACACTGCTGATTGTTTTGTCGACAGAACTGGCTTCCACCAGTATCCCACGATGCCTGTCCTGATTGCTCTGCTCAGTGTTTTGATCTCTGCTGCCCTGCAAGCACGTGCCCCGCCCCTTTCACAGCTCCGGGAGGTATCTGTGTGTTGCTCAAAGAGCAGCAAATCATTGGACTGCTCCTGTTCTGCCCGGCACTAGGAACACAGCAGCAGGCAGACTGCTGCTACAGCCGGAGGGGGACAGACCGCAGTGCTGCTTTGCCATTCCTCAGCATGGAGAGCTCACAGAGCTACGCGTGAGGCTGCGCTCGGCAGCCGAGGGGGCTGTGGGAGAACTCGGAGAGAATCCCAAGATGCGCAGTGCTCAGCTCTCCCTTCCCACAACACTGCACTGTGGGATCAATGCACCATGGGTATGTCTCACCCTGTCGGTGATGGTGTCCCCAATGTGGACATGATCTGTCGACAGAGGGAGCAAGTGTGAACACCCTTTGGTGATTTTTGTTTTGTTGACTTTTGGGTGTCGACATAAGTTTTGTCAACAAAACTTGGTAGTGAAGATAAGCCCTAGGGTGGTGTCAAGGACACAGGTAAAGGGCTGGAAGGCCAAAGACAAGACAATAAGGCCCTACATGAATCCCCCCTTGCTTTCATATCTGACAGAGAGCCAAATTCTCTGCTAGTGTACATGGGCGTGACTGCATTGACTGCAAAGGGGGTTATGCCCATGTATACCAACAGAGAATTTACTCCAATCTTACAACTTTGACACCCCCCCCCCCCGCACACACACACTCCCCATCCCCTTGATTCCCCGAAAGTGTTGCCATTAATACTCATGCTGTCCCCCTACACAAGGAATGACTTCTGCTCTAGCATGCTGAACCACTTTTAAATGAATCATCAAGGTATGCACATGCCATAAATGCATAACGGCTCGGATATTATTCTTACTCAACCCACTCTCCTATTGTGCGATAGCTTCAGTCGCTGAGTCACATCTACAATTAAAATCCTTGCAAACACACAAGTGATGTTAACCAGGCCTGATTGATCTCAATGGGACTAGTCACACACATAAGAGTCTGTAAGCTCTCCTGGGCATATCCACCTATCTGGACGGTAGGATGTCTAGCATACTGCAGTAAAAATAAGTAGTATACTCTTATATGTTTAAATAGCTTGTTATCAGGACAGCATCCCTTTAACAAAGGGAAAACCCATAGGGTTTG